GTACTCTAACCCTCTAAATTCCTTTCTGTTATCTCTTTACTGTGCTATTGTTCTCTGTATATTTATATATAGATATTGGCTACATCTTTTTTCTGTAAATATTTTTATTGCACCCTTTTGACGTTTTTAGTAATAAATCTTTCTTTCTGAAAATGTTAAACTGTTTCTAAAGCTTTTTAATGCAAATTATGAATTCCTGCCGCTGAAGAGTGCTACTTTGTGTGTTTAACCCTCTGTATAACCTGCCTGCGGTCACAGTGGTATACAGATGATTATTCAAACATCATAGTGTTATTGCTAATATTGTCGCGTTTCTTCTTTCTCTGTACAAAAGGGACGTGGTGGCAGTGTGAAGGGTTAATTGTGTAATTAACCTGACCCAATAACAATCGCTTCCAGGCTGCCGGTACACAGACTGTGGTCCATTAGCTGGAAAATCTGTGTGCAGGGTGCAGCTGGGCGTGGCATTGTTATGCACTTGACAGCGCGGTTTTAGATTGACTAGTCCTTTGGTCACCAGTTTGGTGGGAAGGGCTGGGGATCTGATGCCGCGATCGTCACACTCACTAACACCTATGTCATTACAGAATAAAATAGTGGAGATCAGTGGAGAAAACCACTGGCACCAATGCTGGGGCATCCTTCCCCTGACCGGCTGCAATACTAAGCCATTCTTCCTCCCACTCAACCCTATGTAAGAGGAATTCTGCGTCCCATTAAAACTAAAGACACCAAAGCAAGGGACAGTCTTTGCACTTACCACTAATGTAAGTGTCATATTTTCTCTTCCTGACACTAATGTAAAGGTCAGTCTTTTTTCCTTTGACCTCCAATGTAAGAGGAAGTCTTCCTCTGATTGACACAAATGATGTGCTGTTTTTTCCACACCGGCCCCTAAAGTAAGTGTCATTCTTCCCCCTACTGACCACAAATGGGGCATTACTGTATCAACTGACCACCAATGTAAGGGCCATTCCTACTCTACCTGACATGTACACTGACATATAGAAGGTAATTTTATTTCTACTAGCCAGTAGCCACCAATATAAGGGACAGTGTCTCACTTCCCATATTTCACCGATGTAAGTGACAGCCATCCTCTCACTGACACCAATGTAGGGGGTAGTCTTTTTCCTACTGACCAGTGACAGTCTTATTCTCACTATCTGCTAATGTAAGGGGCATTTTTCTCTAGTTGATAACAATTCTGTGACCACTTACCACCAATGTAAAGGGTATTCCTGCTCCTACTATTGCTTCAGATAAGAGCTTTACATTACATTCTTCTGGTCACTGAACCCCATACGCTATGTTATATTGCACATAAACAGTTATTCTCTGTACTTGATACATGTGTAAAGGAATCAAACACTGGGAAATGTGCTGGTATTTCAGAGTTGCACTAAAAATGTTTTTTTTTAAATGTTGGCTTGACATACAGTTTACATACCCTGGCAGAAATTGTGAAATTTTGGCATTGATATTGAAAATATGACTGATCATGCCAAAAAATGCTCTTTTATTGAAGGATAATGATCATATGAAGCCATTTATTATCAAATAGTTGTTTGGCTCCTTTTTAAATCATAATGATAACAGAAATCACCCAAATGGCCATGATCAAAGGTTTACATACCCTGGAATGTTTGGCCTTGGAACAGACACACAAGGTGACACACACGGGTTAAAATGCCAATTAGAGGTTAATGTTCCACATCTGTGGCTTTTTAAATTGCAATTAGTGTCAGTATATATAAATAGTCAATGAGCCTGTTAGCTCTTACATGGAAGCGCTGACTAGGCTAGATACTGAGCCATGGGGATCAGAAAAGAGCTGTCAAAAGTCCTGCGTAACAAGGTAATGGAATTTTATAAAGATGGAAAAGGACATAAAAAGTTGTCCAAAGCCTTGAATATGCCAATCAGTACTGTTAAATCACTTATTAAGAAGTGGAAAGTTCAGTGATCTCTTGATACCAAGCTAAGGTCAGGTAGACCAAGAAAGATTGCAGCCATAACTAACAGAAGAATTGTCTCGGATTCAAAGAAAAACCCACAGGCAACCTCAAAAGAAAAACAGGCTGCTCTGGAAAAAGATGGTGTGGTTGTTTTTAAGGAGTACAATATGGTGATACTTGAACAAAAATGAGCTGTTTGGTCAAGGTGACAGAAAGAAGCTTTTACTGCACCAATGCCACAAAAAAGCCCGGTTACAATATGCCTGGCAACACCTTGACATGCCTAACCAGGCCTTTTTGTGTCCTTGATGCAGTAAAGTCTTCTTTCTGGCACCTCGACCATGCAGCTCATTTTTGTTGAAGTGTCATCATATTGTGCTCCTTCAAAACAACTACACTGTCTTTTTACAGAGCAGCCTGTATTTTTCTTGTGGTTACCTATGCATTTCCCTTTGTATCCCAGACAATACTTCTGGCAGTTGTGGCTGCAATCTTTCTTGGTCTACCTGACCTTGGCTTGGTATCAAGAGATCCCCGAACTTTCCACTTCTTAATAGGTGATTTAACAGTACTGATTGGCATATTCAAGGCTTTGGACATCTTTTTATGTCCTTTTCCATATTTATAAAGCTCCATTACCTTGTTACGCAGGACTTTTGACAGTTTTTTTCTGATCCCCATGGCTCAGTATCTAGCGTAGTCAGTGCTTTCACATAAGAGCTAACAAACTCATTAAGGGTGATTTCTGTTATCATTATGATTTAAAAAGGAGCCAAACAACTATTTGATAATAAATGGCTTCATATGATCATCATCCTTCAATAAAAGAGCATTTGTGGCATGATCAGTCATATTTTCAATATCAATGCCAACATTTCACAATTTCTGCCAGGGTATGTAAACTTTTGAGTACAACTGAACATTTTAAGTCATTTCAGGCATTCAGTTTTACTACCTGCAAAGCAAAATATAATTGTTTCTATGCTAACTCAGTTTTGCTGGGAAATTGTTTCCTTTTACAGTAACATCCTGTGAAAAGATGCAGTTTAAATAGCTGCAGTGTGTTTTATAGAGAAGCAGACAGGAGAGACAATAATATCAACGAGCAATGAAATGTCCAAAAAGTAAGAAAAATATATATATATATATATTGCCTGTTCATCAAGACATATTGTAATTGAATTGAGGTGGGAGCAATCCAGTGGCTGATGGCTTGCAGAGTGCATTGCTCAGTAAATTATATAGCATAGCTCTGGGTCTTTTCAAACCACAAAGCACTAAGCTGAGTCCCCCATTAATTTTTTTCAATTGTTAACTTTGATATACACATGGCCAGTGCAATCTGACTTCACAGCTATGTATGTAGGTGTGTAAAGGCAGTGCATCAAAACATATCATTATACCACAGCCTGTACACTTAAATCAGCGCACTATATAACTGAACTAACTTATGGAAACTTCTCCAGTACAGCTTTATTTTTTATTTAGACTTCAGTGCTATTAGAATATTCTAATTCTAATAGCATTGAATTTACTACACATTTTGCAGGCTGTTGTCCCATATTTATATCTTTACTATGATTTTAAGGCTTCATTCACATGGGTGCTGAAGCCCGTAGTCTGTGAATGGGCCATGTTTTTGTGGATTGAGCTGCAAGGTGCTGCATGTAGGCAATTCATTCAAATCTTTGTGGATGCAACAGCTGCACAGACACAGCCGCTCATCCCAATTTGTGACAGGTGTGCAGGTGTGGGTGAGTAGCCCTGAACGTACACAGTGTAGTGTGTGTTCAGGAAACTCTCACCATCACCTGCATGGCTGTCACAAATTGGACAAGCCATTGCATCCCCATAGACTTGAATTGGTCGCCTGCATTCAGCACCTGGCAGCTCAAGCTGCATGCACACATTATTTTTTATATCTTGCAATGTGTCTCTGAGCTTACTGAAAAAAAAAATTGGGTAGTCAATTCCCTAGAACAACATATTCCCTCCTGCAATAGGTAATGTAGTGTTGGTGTGATGTAGTGCCCTTCATTCTAAATGGCAACCCCCTGCACCTTTCAAGCATACGTGCAACTATCATGCATTGCATTATTCTGCTGAAAATGCTTCATGCCTAATCTTTGGTGCGTCAGTAACATTGTATATTAACGTGTGACACAACACACTGCAACAAATGCAAAATTGCAAGTAGCATTTGAGGCTGTGCTCACATCTAAGCACTTCCCAGGGGTAAAATACAGTTCACTGAGACAAACACAGAGTTGTCATAAAAAGCAGCCATGCCCTATTCCTATATGTGCACTGCAGTTCAGTGCATTATGGGAAACAGTGTAAATCAACTATACTGTATCAACGTACAATTTTGGCCAACTTAACACACAAAAGACATGCCTTAACAACACTAAAATCGCACAACATAAGTATGTGCATTTTTATAATGCAAAGTAAAGTATACATTATAATAAAAGCTGTGTATAAAACCTACCTGGGGAATATTTTGTTTGCTAAATCACTGTGCATTTTTTAATTAAAATACTAGTTTCCACTTTTTGCTGTTAATCTCATGAAGCCACTTTGAAGTGACTCCCTGTTTACAGGAATGCAGTCCAGCAAGGGCTGCATTTAATTCTCAGGGCAGAATTCCAGGTGAAAACAGGGGACCATGGCTGCATAATGAGTTGAAACAACCCCTTGTAGTCTACATAACCCATGTGACAGAGTGATCACCCAGGAGCACAGCTGAAAGACAGGGGCAGATCTTTGTTAACCTAGCAGGAAATTCCTTGACCTTCATGGCAAGATCTCTGGGTATTATTTTATTACAATTAGAGATGAGCGAAGTATTCAAAAATTCGATTCGACTGATTCGGCGAATTCGTGGAAAAATTTTGATTCAAGTCGAATATATTCGCTGCGAATTTAACTTATAAAAGGGTGTTTCTAGGCTTCAGAGAGCCTTTATATTAGTGCAGAACACTGTACCTTTAATTTAAATGTCCTTGGAGTCTGCTGGGGAAGAGAAATAATACTGACAGTCAGTATGACATGCAGATGAGTGCCGTCGATCTTAGAATCACCGCACACTTCACTCATTTGGGCAGTCACGGGGCCAAAACCAGAGTGTGGAGCCACAGTGTGGCGGTGGAGGCAGCAGCAATGGGAGGCCATACAGCACCCTATGACAAAAATGGAAACCACCAGCAGTGTGAGGAGACCTGAAAGTGGCACATGGCAGAGTGCAGCATGAGGAGGCGGTACAGGGGCCCGATGGATGACGGGGGCCCATGGCAGATTACGGGCCTGGCAGCAGCAATGGGAGGCCGTACAGGGACCCATGACACACTCTGGACCTGGCAGCAGCATGAGGAGGCAGTACAGGGGCGCATGACAGATTACGAGCCTGGCAGCAGCACTTGGACAGGAGGACGTTCAGCTTGCGTGCTCGCAAACTGTTGTTCTTGGAAAGGATTCCAAGGACTGCTGACGGAATCCTTAGCAGGAGAGGAGCCTGAACGAGCGGGCCAACAAGCGACAACAGAGGGGCAGCAGCATGAGGACGGTAGATTAGGGGCCTGGCAGCAGCATGGCAGCATGATGGACGGTACAGGGGCCCATGCAGATTAGAGACCTGAAACGAAAGTGGCCTGGCAGCGGCGGTATAGGGGCCCATGGGAGGCCCAAGTAATCTCTGCCAGCACCCTATGTCAAAAAATTCAACCACCAGCAGTGTGAGGAGACCTGAAAGTGGCACATGGCGAGTGTGGCGATCTGAGACAGCAGCATGGGAGGCCGTACAGGGACCCATGACAGATTAGGGGCCTGGCAGCAGCATGGCAGGGAGGCCCGTAATCGGCCAAAAAAGGTAAGGGGCCTGGCAGGCAGGGGGGCCCATGTGATGGCAGATTAGGGGCCTGGCAGCAGCTATGGGAGGCCCATGGAAATCTGCCAGCACCCTATGTAATCTGCCAAAATGGAATTCAACACACCAGCAGTGTGAGGAGACCTGAAAGTGGCACATGGCAGAGTGTGGCGATGGAGACAGCAGCAATGGGAGGCCGTACAGGGACCCATGACAGACTCTGGACCTGGCAGCAGCATGAGGAGGGCGGTATAGGGGCCCATGGCAGATTAGGGGCCTGGCAGCAGCTATGGGAGGCCCGTAATCTGCCAGCACCCTATGTCAAAAAATTCAACACACCAGCAGTGTGAGGAGACCTGAAAGTGGCACACAGAGTGTGGCATGAGACACTGTGGACCTGGCAGCAGCATGAGGAGGCGGTAACAGGGGCCCATGGCAGATTAGGGGCCTGGCAGCAGCTATAGGAGGCCCGTAATCTGCCAGCACCCTATGTCAAAAAATTGAACACACCAGCAGTGTGAGGAGACCTGAAAGTGGCACATGGCAGAGTGTGGCGATGGAGACAGCAGCAATGGGAGGCCGTACAGGGACCCATGAGACACTGTGGACCTGGCAGCAGCATGAGGAGGCGGTAGCACACATGGAGGGGGCCCATGGCAGATTAGGGGCCTGGCAGCAGCAATGGGAGGCCCGTAATCTGCCAGCACCCTATGACAAAAAATGGAACACACCAGCAGTGTGTGAGAGACCTGAAAGTGGCACATGGCAGAGTGTGGCGATGGAGACAGCAGCAATGGGAGGCCGTACAGGGACCCATGACAGACTCTGGAACTGGCAGCAGCATGAGGAGGCGGTATAGGGGCCCATGGCAGATTAGGGGCCTGGCAGCAGCTATGGGAGGCCCTTAATCTGCCAGCACCCTATGTCAAAAAATTCAACACACCAGCAGTGTGAGGAGACCTGAAAGTGGCACGGCATGGAGACACTGTGGACCTGGCAGCAGCATGAGGAGGCGGTACAGGGGCCCATGGCAGATTAGGGGCCTGGCAGCAGCTATGGGAGGCCCGTAATCTGCCAGCACCCTATGTCAAAAAATTGAACACACCAGCAGTGTGAGGAGACCTGAAAGTGGCACATGGCATGAGACACTGTGGACCTGGCAGCAGCATGAGGAGGCGGTACAGGGGCCCATGGCAGATTAGGGGCCTGGCAGCAGCTATAGGAGGCCTGTAATCTGCCAGCACCCTATGACAAAAAATGGAACACACCAGCAGTGTGTGAGGAGACCTGAAAGTGGCACATGGCAGAGTGTGGCGATGGAGACAGCAGCAATGGGAGGCCGTACAGGGACCCATGAGACACTGTGGACCTGGCAGCAGCATGAGGAGGCGGTACAGGGGCCCATGGCAGATTAGGGGCCTGGCAGCAGCTATAGGAGGCCCGTAATCTGCCAGCACCCTATGACAAAAAATGGAACACACCAGCAGTGTGAGGAGACCTGAAAGTGGCACATGGCAGAGTGTGGCGATGGAGACAGCAGCAATGGGAGGCCGTACAGGGACCCATGAGAGACTCTGGACCTGGCAGCAGCATGAGGAGGCGGTACAGGGGCCCATGGCAGATTAGGGGCCTGGCAGCAGCTATAGGAGGCCCGTAATCTGCCAGCACCCTATGACAAAAAATGGAACACACCAGCAGTGTGTGAGGAGACCTGAAAGTGGCACATGGCAGAGTGTGGCGATGGAGACAGCAGCAATGGGAGGCCGTACAGGGACCCATGAGAGACTCTGGACCTGGCAGCAGCATGAGGAGGCGGTACAGGGGCCCATGGCAGATTAGGGGCCTGGCAGCAGCTATGGGAGGCCCGTAATCTGCCAGCACCCTATGACAAAAAATGGAACACACCAGCAGTGTGTGAGGAGACCTGAAAGTGGCACATGGCAGAGTGTGGCGATGGAGACAGCAGCAATGGGAGGCCGTACAGGGACCCATGACAGACTCTGGACCTGGCAGCAGCATGAGGAGGCGGTATAGGGGCCCATGGCAGATTAGGGGCCTGGCAGCAGCTATGGGAGGCCCGTAATCTGCCAGCACCCTATGTCAAAAAATGGAACACACACCAGCAGTGTGAGGAGACCTGAAAGTGGCACACAGAGTGTGGCATGGAGACAGCAATGGGAGGACCTACAGGGCAGCAGCATGGACCTGGCAGCAGCATGAGGAGGCGGTACAGGGGCCCATGGCAGATTAGGGGCCTGGCAGCAGCTATGGGAGGCCCGTAATCTGCCAGCACCCTATGACAAAAAATGGAACACACCAGCAGTGTGAGGAGACCTGAAAGTGGCACATGGCAGAGTGTGGCGATGGAGACAGCAGCAATGGGAGGCCGTACAGGGACCCATGAGAGACTCTGGACCTGGCAGCAGCATGAGGAGGCGGTATAGGGGCCCATGGCAGATTAGGGGCCTGGCAGCAGCTATGGGAGGCCCGTAATCTGCCAGCACCCTATGTCAAAAAATTGAACACACCAGCAGTGTGAGGAGACCTGAAAGTGGCACATGGCAGGGGCATGATTCATGGCGGATTTAGTCAGTTGTGTCAGGAACTGGTGGTTTGAAATCCAGACTAATCCACGCCTGATTCATTTTCACAAACGTGAGTCTCTCCACACTTTGGGTGGACAGTCGTGTCCTCCGCGGAGTTACAATACCTCCTGCCGCACTAAACACGCGCTCCGATGCCACGCTACTGGCCGGGCATGACAGCCTTTCAAGGGCAAATTCAGCTAGTTGGGGCCAAAGGTCAAGTTTCGTTGCCCAGTAGTCAAGGGGATTGTCTACCTCGGTTGGCAGGGTGCTGTCCAAGTAGGCCCAAGCCTGTTGTTTGAGGTCCTGCTCCAGGTCCACCTGATGCTGCTGCTGCTGCGGCTGGTTAGTAGTTTCCTCACTGCGCTGGTGAAGAAAGCTACTCATCATCGACTGCAGACTGAGGCAGCCGCTGCTGGTGGAGCTGCCACTGCTCCTACCACCCCACCCCTCCTTTGCTGCCATGGCAGCGGAACGCGAGCGCACAGGGCCCACAGTGTCTGAGGATGGACGTTGGCGCACAAAGGCAGAGACCAACTGACTACATAGGTGGTTTTTATAGTACGTTATTTTGGCCTCCCTCTCAGCAGGTGTGAAAAAGGCCACCATTTTTGAACGGTAGCGAGGGTCCAACAAGGTGGACAGCCAAAAGTCATCCCTCTGTCTGATGGTTATTATTCGGCTGTCGCTACGCAAGCAACCGAGCATGCTATGGGCCATTTGTGCCAAGGAATGCGAGGGACTCCCTGCCTCCATCTCCACAGCATACTGCCACGGTGCGTCTGGGTCCTCTGTCTCTCCTCCTCCTCTACCAGATGCTCCTGCTCCTCCACTCCTGTCCGCTGAGTGGAAAAACCACCCATTTCACTCAATAATTCCTGAGCACAAATGTCCTCCTCCTACCTCCTCCTCTTCTTCCTGTCCTGCCCCCACAGGGGTCATGTGGCGTTGAGATCTGTGCGCCACGTCTACCGCACCCTGACAGCCATTGTTAACAGCATTTGTTCCAGGACGTGCAACAGAGGAATGACGTCGTTCATCCCATAGTCCTGCCGACTCACGAATAGCGTGGCCTCCTCAAAGGGCCTGAGCAAGCGGCAGGTGTCACGCATGAGCTGCCAATGGCTGACATCGAAGTTACACAGGGGAGTACCTTTATCCGCTTGTAACATCAGGAAATCGGTGATGGCCTTTCGCTGTTCGTAAAGGCGGTCTACCATGTGTAGGGTTGAATTCCACCTTGTTGCAACGTCGCAGATCAGGCGATGCTGTGGAATTCCGTTCTGCCGCTGCAGCTCAAGGAGGGTGTGCTTTGCGGTGTAGGAATGGCTGAAATGCATGCAAAGTTTACGTGACATTTTAAGGATGTCTTGCAGTGGGATGGTGGATTTTAGGAACCGCTTGACAACCAGATTGAACACGTGAGCCATGCATGGCGCATGGCACAACCTTCCTTGACGCAGAGCAGACACCATGTTCTTTATTGTCGGTCAACATGGTTCCGATTTTCAGTTTGCGCGGAGACAGCCATCTGTCGATTTCTCTGTTCATTACACTGAGAAGTTCCTCCCCTGTGTGACTACGTTCGCCTGGACCTGGCAGCAGCATGAGGAGGAGGCGTATAGGGGCCCATGGCAGATTAGGGGCCTGGCAGCAGCTATGGGAGGCCCGTAATCTGCCAGCACCCTATGTCAAAAAAATTGGAACACACCAGCAGTGTGTGAGGAGACCTGAAAGTGGCACATGGCAGAGTGTGGCGATGGAGACAGCAGCAATGGGAGGCCGTACAGGGACCCATGAGAGACTCTGGACTGGCAGCAGCATGAGGAGGCGGTATAGGGGCCCATGGCAGATTAGGGGCCTGGCAGCAGCTATGGGAGGCCCGTAATCTGCCAGCACCCTATGTCAAAAAAATTGAACACACCAGCAGTGTGTGAGGAGACCTGAAAGTGGCACATGGCAGAGGTGGCGATGGAGACAGCAGCGATGGGAGGCAGCACATGGGAGGCCGTACAGGGACCCAGGAGGAGAGACTCTGGACTAGGGGCCTGGCAGCAGCATGAGGAGGCCGTAATAGGGGCCCATGCAGATTAGGGCCTGGCAGCAGCTATGGGAGGCCCGTAAATCTGCCAGCACCCTATGACAAAAATGGAACACACCAGCAGTGTGAGGAGACCTGAAAGTGGCACAGGGGACCATGAGAGACACTGTGGACCTGGCAGCAGCATGAGGAGGCGGGTACAGGGGCCCATGGCAGATTAGGGGCCTGGCAGCAGCTATGGGAGGCCCGTAATCTGCCAGCACCCTATGACAAAAAATGGAACACACCAGCAGTGTGTGAGGAGACCTGAAAGTGGCACATGGCAGAGTGTGGCGATGGAGACAACCCACCGACTGTTTTGCTCGCTGCCAAGCTGCCACCCTCTCTCCTGATTGATGCGGAAGCAAGCTAGCATGAGGAGGCCTGATGGACGACGAGGCTGCCGCAGAAGTGCGATCTGCCTCATCATCATCACCAGCATTAGGGTCTCCGCCTCACTACTAGCCCCCTCGGCTGCGTGTGGGTCAGGAGACAGACCTGTCTCTAGACCGGCAGCAGCATGACCGAGCCACTCTCCTCGCCACTACTTCTTCGCCTGGCTGCAGCTGAAGATGGGATGTCTCCCCCCCGTTCTGCCGCCCTCTGTTAGCTCTTCCTCACTGTACTGGATGACACAGTGGCACAAGCATGGGAGCACTGGCAGCCTCTGGCTGCGAATAGTGCTGCCTCGACCCCTTCCTCTGCTGCCTGTCTGCTCGCTCCTAAAACATTGCCTCCTCTGCCACTCCTCTGCATGTTGTCTGACATACTCCGACGACCTGATTCTGTGTCCCTGAGTAACAATTCTGTGTCTGTCCCTGAGTAACAATTCTGTGTGTCCCTGAGTGGCAGATTCTGTGGCCCTGGCAGTAACTATTCTGTGGCCCTCAGTAACAATTCTGTGTCCCTCAGTAACAATTCTGTGTCTCAGTAACAATTCTGCAGTGTCTGTCCCTGAGTAACAATTCTGACCTGTGTCACAATTGGCAGTGTCCGATGAGACAACAATTCTGTGTCCCTCAGTAACAATTCTGTGTCCTGGCAGCAGTAACAATTCTGTGTCCCTGAGTAACAATTCTGTGTCTGCAGCAGTAACAATTCTGTGTCGTCCCTCAGTACAATTCTGTGTCCCTCAGTAACAATTCTGTGTCCCTGAAAGTAACACATTCTGTGTCCCTGAGTAACAATTCTGTGTCTGTCCCCTGAGTAAAACAATTCTGTCTTGTCCCTGAGTAACAATTCTGTGTCCCCTAAGTAATAACAATTCTGCATGTGTCCCCTAAGTAACGTTTCTGTTGCCCCTAAGTAACGTTTCTGTGGCCCTAAGTAAAACGATTCTGTGCCCTCAGTAACAATTCTGTGGTCCCTCAGTAACAATTCTGTGTCCCTGAGTAACAATTCTGTGTCTGTCCCTGAGTAAGAATTCTGTGTCTGTCCCTGATTAACAATTCTGTGTCCCTGAGTAACATTTCTGTGGCCCTAAGTAACAGTTCTGTGGCCCTCCTCTGCAGTAACAATTCTGTGTCCCTCAGTAACAATTCTGTGGCCCTCAGTAACAATTCTGTGGCCCTCAGTAACAATTCTGTGTCTGTCCCTAGTAACAATTCTGTGTGTCCCTGAGTAACAATTCTGTGTCCCTGAGTAACGTTTCTGTGTCCCTGAGTAACATTCTGTGTCCCTCAGTAACAATTCTGTGTCCCTCAGTAACAATTCTGTGTCTGTCCCTGAGTAACAATTCTGTGTCCCTCAGTAACAATTCTGTGTCCCTCAGTAACAATTCTTCTGTGTCCCTGAGTAACAATTCTGTGTGTCCCCTGAGTAACAATTCTGTGTCTGTCCCTGAGTA